AAAACCCAATGCTCCTAAAACACTGTTCCGTTAGAAGAAGTTGCATTATAATTACTTTATTTTAGGAAATAAGTTGCTTTGCTGGTATGTGATAAGCAACACTCCTGTTGTTTGGGCATTACAATCAAATAATGGACACTTCACCAGGTTAAAATGGCTCAGACAACTGGCCATATTCACTAATGAGAACTTTAACACCAGATATGTTTGATATTTTAAAATTAGATCTTAACTCTGCCTCTGGGGCTGACCTTTCTTGCAAGCTCTTTAAGATCTTGAATTGTTAGAAAAGGAAGCTTTATGCTGCCAAAGGCCAAGAAAATCACAGATTCCATAGATTTATGTACCTCTCCCATACATTTTCTGCATAATGCTGTTGATGGTGGTGGTTTTGGACTTAGCCTGGTATTTGATTTCTCACTGACATTATTATTTGCACTGTAAGAAGCCCTAAGAGTGAGGAAGCATCCTAAAAGGCTGCCTGTCTTCTGAGCCTGTCGTGAGAATTTCTTATATTGTAGCACACATATTTAAAATTAGAAACTCCACAATCTGAGTGAGCTCTAAACACAAGCACATATGAAGCTTCAGCCCATGCAATGCACACAGTGTCTGATTACCAGAGCTGCAGGCCGGTAAGCACCACGGGGACACCCACTGGCACTGCTGGCACCCCATCTCCGAGGGGGAACTCGAATCTGCTGACTGCTTCCTGCATTTTCTTTCAAGTTAGGTACCTGTCTGCTGATTTCACAGTGTCTGCCCATAAATCCTGATTTGCAGATACATCTTCCTGACATATCACATTGCAGTGACATGGATCCTAAAGCACTGCAGCCACAGGGTATACAAAACAGCTTTTCTGGGGCCCAGAAGTAGCTGGGCTTTAAGAATGAAAAGTAAACACTGTTAGAAAGTGAAGATAAGGAAACCATACCACATAAAAGAGTACAGGAATAAAGACAGGAGTAAAAGCAATAGTAAACAAAGATTAATTCCAATTAACCACCAATACTGTATTAATGAGTTTGAGATATTTCCTAGCTATGTTACGCAATTTGTGCAAATTCCATTGATACTAGCAATTTGTCTTTGAATGGACTTCTTAAATACTGTTGAAAATGGAGTGTGAGCAAACCACTTGAGAAAGTACATAATTTTAAAGGTTGAATATGATCCTTTTTTTTTTCTGCCAAATTATTTATGTGCTTTAAATTGCACACAGGTGGAGGTGTTCTGAGGACACAGGCATAACCCACAAGTCCTTATGCTGAACTAGAGATATGTGCAGCAAGCTATAACACATTCTTTAGCTGCCTGAAGACAACTCTGTGGAAGTTCATGAAACAATGTTTTTCTGCAGTAATTTATGAGACAGCAAAACAATGTCATGCAAAAGACACTTTCACCAAAAAAATAATACATTGTTTGGACAATACAAGAGGAAACCCTAAGAAAAAAATCCCCAAACAGGAAGCAGAACATTCACAGCAGTACTAGAGTAGAATCCTGCTTTTTTCGGTTTTAAAATCAGATGTTATCAGACATTTTGCAACTTTCTTCATAAAGGGATTATCCCCTAAGGCTTCAACATTATTAACTAATTTATTGATATCAAACATTCAGATTATAAAGTGTATATAACATATATACATTTGTACTTATATGTACAGTAAGATTTAAAATACATTAATGGCACGTAAATGCAATGTTATGTGTTCTAGAAAACAATTAGAAAACATTTATAAAACAACCATTTTACCTTTCTCTACATATGAACAATCTATACATGTTCTTTAAGGGAAGAAGTTATAACAAAAAAAACCCTATCCAAAACCTGATGATACAGCAAACAAGGAAGAAAGCTGAAAGGAAATGCCACCTCTTGTCACTCACCTTGCAGACGTCGCAGCGGCGCCCGATTACATTGGCTTTACACTTGCACTGGCCTGTGCGAGAGTCACAGATGTCTGAGAAGGAGCCATTGACGTGACAGTGACATGCTGCAGGAGAAGAAGAAGATGTTAATGTGTTTCCTTTAGCTAAATCTAATAGCCAAATGTTTACAGTGCAGCTTTTGCCATACTGAGAAATATCCAGCCTGGGTAAAGCAGAAAGGTATCACTCCCATATGCTGACAACACACATTAATCTACCCATATTAAAGTGGAATTTTTCTCCAAATTATTGCAGTGAGAAATTTTGCCTCAAGTTTATAAACAACTTGTTTTAGATGTTCCTCTCATCTCACCCTAACCCTAACCCTAACCCTAACCAGAATGTTTAGGGCACATTACTGAGTAGACGCCCAGAAACTTGAGGTGGGCAGGGCAGCACAGTGCAAAAAGCAAAGAGGGTACAGACCCTTACACAGGGTGTGTCCAGGATGTAGCTATGGCCTGTAGGAGTGTTACTGCTCTGCATGCTAGTTCTGCTGCCCTGGAGACCACTCCCTGTTTATGTAGTCAGTAGGAAATATTGGCAGGCAGAGGATCCAGAACAAGGTTCCCTCCAGGGGCCTCTCTACAGAGGCAGTAATGCACTCAGCCCTAGAGCACAGCTGAGAAGAGACCAAGGATTATCTGCTACCATGACTCTCCAGGACTTCTGTCTCAGCAACATCATCACACTTCTCAGAGGAAACACAACCCAACTGACCTGCCTAAATCATCACAGTGCTCTCTTAAAGATTTAAAATAGCAATGAAAAGGAGCTGCTTTTTCTTGAGGACAATAACAGTGCTTCTGGCTTCTAAATTCTTATGTTTTAGGAGAAGAGAAGTTTTGGGGAAGATTTCTATCATCCTTTATTTTCTTCAACCACAATCCTTTCAGCATGCAGAGATTAGGAAAAAAATCCCTTTAGCACTTACAGGAGAGAAGAGGGATATGATTGGTGTCACAGGGACTATAACCATGCAGTCACTGATTCAATCAGCATGAGCTACTTCCTGCTTGTTCCCTTGTTTTATTCCCCAGAGGACAATGAATCCATATTTCTTATCAAGTACTCTGTAAACCTGGGTTCCAATCCACATTTTGCCTTCCTGCAGTGCCCTAACTGCATGTGTTGTTATTTTTCTCTCAACCTGACAGCTTCATTTTAAGAAAAACTAAAAGAGTCTCAACAGTGAACACACAGTGGTCACACACGTGCATGTCAGAAAGTGCCACGTCAGACAAAGGAATTATATTTTTGCAGTATGTAGACTATTACAACAGGACCTTCCTCATTACTTCACTAGTCTTGCTAATTTACAATTTCCAATTACAAATTGAAAGGATTGGGTTTTCTTTCTTTCCTCCCCTCTTTTGAGGTGTTCTGCAAAAATTCGTTATTTTACATGAAAGCAACTTTATGACATGCCATTCTATTCATGGCATTGTTTCTCAAATGTTTGGAAAAATTCTGGAATAAATAACTAAAATATGCTGGGCTTTCATACCAGTAGTATTGTAACACCTTCAGAGGTTTTATCTCTTTCTGTTTTGCAATACATTAAAAAACCCCAAAACATTTAAAAACACTTCTGATGTAATTAACATTGCTTATCTTTTCCTTTCACTATCAATTTTCCAACACTAAACAATCTTTATCATGACATTCATGTTTTAAAACTGCTGACTCTCCAAACTGTACACAATGATGACTATAACATATATATGTTTTGAGTATCATTCTTATTAAAATGGTCAGTGGAAAAAGGAATTGTAAAAGCTCAGACTCAAAAAACCACAATCCTCAATGCCAATTAACAGTATTTCACCACCCTTTTTATAAAGGCCACAAAAAAACAAAGTCAGTCTGGTTTGAATTGTTTTCCTTATCAGGCATATGACAACACAACAATCAAAAAGAAAATTTACAGTGATTTTATATACAGATGAGTTTATAAGAGTGCTATTTATATTGAATATTACCACAAAGGGCACACCATGTATTCTTAACTCAGCCACAGATGACTGAGTGCAATGCAGTGGGGTAAGGGAGAATTTGGAATATTGAGACTTCGATTGTTTTTCTTAGCTCTGGGAGTACATACATAGAAAAGAAGCATACAGTCTGGGCTATTCATCTAATAAACTGTTACTCAATCTGATAAATTGCGTTTATCTTGCCTAAAGCTTCCCCATTCATTCACCTCTACTGGGAAAATTAGCTCTGCCAAAGCCTCTAAATGGTTATTATAATAAAATACAGCCTGACAGAGAAATTTGTCTTACTTTCTTCCAAAATGACACTGGTCAAGACCCCTCAGTCTCTCCAGATTTGTATAAATATTTATGAGTGTGTATTTATGATCAACCTACATGCTTATTCTCCTCCAACAGTAGCACCTATGCACTGGAACATAGGCACACATGAATATTAGCTTTGATTCATCTCATGGCACTGAGCTCTATTACCATCAGCACAACCTCCAGGTATTTGCTTCAGTACACTGTGCTATTTCACTCCAAAAACCAACGTACTAGAATCAAGTCAAATAAGCCTAGGACATTTGCTCATTGCCCTTAGATTTATGATTTTGTATAAATACACCAAAAAAATTCTGAGATGCTATAAAGCTATACTGTCATTTGAAATGGTTAAAGCACACAACAGCACTGTACTGAGAAAGAGCAAGAAACATTTCAAACAATAATTTGAAAGCAAATTCATGCTTTGCAATACTCTTGGATTTGGCTTTTTAATAGGGAATGAAATTGAAAACAACAAAGTAAAAGCACAGTCCCTCTGATATTGTAGCTGCAGGGCAAAATTCATGGAAGTCTGCAAAGGAAATAAAAGATCATATTCAAAAAAGAAAACCCACATGAAAGACTGAGTAGATGAATACAAGGTAACTGCAAGCACAAGGCTATGAATACATTAGAGGGCTCTCCTTGTCAGTGATTCCAACAACAAAAACAAAGCTTGTAATTCAACATTAAATATATATTTATTTTTCATACATTTAAAAAAATGTACATTTTCTGAACTCTCCTCATATTAAATCTCTTTCTCATGGAGCTGCCAGTACTGTGGAAATGGTTAAAGCAACAGTCCTACTGATGCCTCAGGAATGGTGCCAAGCTACTGGAAGCTATTTTTTGAAATACACTGCTTTCTTAACCACTTTACACATTTAACATTCTAACTCATATGACATCATTCATCAAGACCTGATAACTCATGCAGATAATCTATGTGATAGTCCAACATTGTGCAAAGTACATACAGAAAATATTTACATGTCTTCATCTGTGGCTTTGCGTACATCAGTGTTTATTAGCCTTAATAATTAGACTTGATGCTTTCACTTTCAAACAGCAAGTTGTTAATAGAGCAAGTCCTGCAAATGGATTCTAGTGGCTCAGACTTCCATGTTTGCAACATACTGCAGACATGGTCCTCATGTTCCTATACACACAGAAGTGAGAGTGTCCCAGCTCTTTTACTTGAATAATTTTATCCTGCTATAAGACTTTTGTACTAAATAGAGTTACTCCAAGTTTATTCCAATGGATCAAAAAGGATTAAATCCTTGTGACAACGAAATAGAATGCTCTGCTCCTTCAGAGAAGTTTGCAACCTGTTGTATTCCACTCCTTAGAATGGGATGAAAGGGTACATGAAGAATGTTTTAAAGTTAAATGCACTTGTTCTGCGTAATAGCTGCATTCTGAGTTGTACCTTTGAGCTGAAGTAGAGTTACCTTTCTTCACAGAGGCTAGTATGGGACTCTATTTGGGTTTTGTGCAGAACACAGAGTTGATAATGCAGAGATGTTTTTGTTATTGCTGAGCGGAGCTTGCACGGAGTCAAGGTCTTTGCTGCTTTCCGTGCTGCCACGCTGGCAAGGAAGTTGGGGATGCATGGGAGATTGGGAGGAGACACAGCTGGGACAGGTGACCCAAACTAGCCAAAGGGATATTCCATACCATATGACATCATGCTCAGTATATAAGGTGGGAGGAAGAAGGAGGAAGGGGGGACATCTGGAGTGATGGCGTCTGTCTTCCCAAGGAACCGTTACGCGTGATGGGCCCTGCTCTCCTGGAGATGGCTAAACACCTCCTGTCTTTGGGAAGCAGTGAATTAATTCCTTGTTTTGCTTTGCTTGTGTGTGCAGCTTTTGCTTTGCCTATTAAACTGTCTTTATCTCAACCCATGAGTTTTTGTAGCTTTTATCCTTCTAATTGGCTCCCCCATCCCATTGGTGGGGGAGTGAGTGAGAGGCTGCGTAGTTCTTGGCTGCTGGCTGGGGTTAAACCACGACAACCAGTAATGGCACAGAGAAAGCCACTGCCTCCTACAGAAGCTTCTGTTCCTACCAAATTTTCCATCTCCTCTCAATAATTTTTTGCAATCACTATGGGGAAGTATGAGCTGGAGCTAATACTTAACATGCCACCACTCAGCTGAGAAGTTGCAGCTTGCTGCAGTGCTAGGTGTCTTCCTCCAGAGCACTTTAGAAAATTTGTACGAAGGTTTTAGACTCTGCTTTGCAGGAGATGGGAGAATTTTGCCCTGCAAGAGGCAGCAGCCCCAACTCTTACTGAGGTCAGGTAGCTGGGAAGGACATCAGAGCTGGACCCTAGAGTAATTGATATATCACTTCCTCCTTTCAGCACCAATGTCACTAGTTAACAGGATTTCCCTGGATAGCTTATAGCATTTTTAGTGAACAGTTTTCATTTATTTTTGTTTGTTTTTATAGACCTGACATTTCGTATAACCTTTTGCATCCATGCAATTCTCCATTCTCTCCATTTTTTTCAATGTCTGCTTCAAACTACAGCTTTTTCAAGTTCTTCTTTCTATTTACTTTAAAGCCTCCCTTTCCAGATGCAAATAAAATAGTATCATTATTAGAGGTGTAAGTGCACTGTATCATTCTCCTGCTCACACATACAGAGGCACAGTCTTCCTCTCAGGAACACAGTTATAGGATAGATCAATACTGTCAGGAGCTGTAAAAGTTTGTGACTTACGTTGACAGTTCCTTGCATCAAGAGCATCGCCAAAATATCCATCAGCACACCTCTCACAATATTGGCCTGTTGTACCTGGCTTACATATCAGACAAGCACCAGACAAGCTGTCACAGCTGCCAGGAACGGAGAAGTCAAGGTTGTTATTACACTGGCATGGCTGGCATGATCCCCCTGGTATTAGAGGTTGTCCAAAATAGCCTTCTGCACACCTAAGGTAAAAGACATCATCAGTTAGGACCCTTAAATAATCCTCTTGTTAGAAATACTTAATACTGTTGCCTTACTAATCACAAAAAAATTACTTGATCTTATCTCATGTGTTTCTTAAGTGTCTTTTTTCTTTCTCCCTCCTTCTCCGTTTTAACAACACTGCAGATACAGTACCAGCTGAAATCCTGCCAGTTCTGCTACTAATTAGACTTTAGTGGAGAAAAAAATCTTGTCACTGGCACTGAAGGCGAGACAAAGCATGACATAAAATCTGTCTATTGGCACACTAGAGGGGGGGGATTGGACTAGATGACCTTTAAGGGTCCCTTCCAACCCAAACTATTCTGTGATTCTATGCTAGATATGCTTTGTATTTTACTATATCATGTCTAGATGTCTGTACTCATTTACCAACAAGCTTGATGATTATTTCCCTCTATCTTAAGAACTTGCTTAGTTTAGAAAAACAAATATAGACTGTAATACAGACATAAATTTGTTTACCTAACAAGATCCTCCCCTGACTTAGCCTTTCCCCAATCTACTGCATGGTCAGATTTGTTTAATTAATGGTTGCTAATCTCTGTGTATAGGTAGGTAACAAAAAGATTGCTCATTATCCTGGGAACTATGTTGGTGTGTACTATACCTTTCATATTTTAACAGAGTTGTTTAAAAACATTACCTTCTTTTCCACCTTGCCCACCACCAATTTCCTGTGAGTACCATGTAAAACAGGTTAGTCAACCTGACATAACATGAGTCTATATTTAAAGCAAATTTCTGCTTATCTCACACCCTATTTCCTATTTATATTCTGGTCTTCTTTCCCTTTCCATTACATTTGTTCACACTTCATAGTAAGAACAACTTGTAGATAATGAATAAAAAAACCTAAAATTGCCCAGTTCTAGCTAATGTAGTTATTCATGTGCATCTCAGATGAACTCCAATTAGTGTAAAGAAAACACACAGTACATAAAACATGCTGCATAAATTAATGTTTCCTACTATTTTAAAGTCAATTTGAATGCAGTTCTAGTGTACACAGATATCCTGTCTGCTTTGTAATAGTACTGGATGACATGGTTGAGCAAAGATTCTGTGTATCACCCTAATATGGGAATGCAGAGCTCCACTATGCTTTCACTCTTGCTTCTTTATGCACATCAAGTTCATTTGTTTTCTTGCTTCCAGAATAACTCATGAAACTTCCAACTGGATTCTATGCAAAGCTGTCTAAATATATACCATTCAATATCATTAGCAAAAATTACAAATATCATAAAAATTGGGTAATATTAGGGAGGAAATGATAGTGGGATCTAACTAAGCAGTTTTTTGTAGGAAGATATTACACAAAATAGTTTTTTTCCATTCTGTAGAAATAACCACAATGCAGACCACAGATGAATAATGTGTGTAAATAGTCCAGTGGTCTGGGTGCATGCAAGCATTCAAGACCATGAGTAAAATTTTCACAATCTAACTCATTGTGCTTTAGTCCTGTATCATAGTCATCTCTCACAATTACCTTCTGGTGTCAACAAGACATCAAAATCATGTGATTAGATTAATTCAGGCATTTTATTTTCAGAACCTGTCAGGAATGTAGCCATTTACTGTATTCCCTGCAAAGACATTGATATTATTTTCTGTGATGGAGGATGCCTCAGTAACCACAAAAGACTGATTTTTAACTTAATTTTGCCAAGACAAATTGGTATTTTTTCAGTCATGAGACCTCAGTTACAAAAGCCAGGAATGTCTCTTAATATGCGGCAATTAATAGCCATGATTTATCAAAAACAAAAGGTATCTGGATAATTTATGCAGTTATCTTACTTTACCTAAACCAGATTATGTCTGAAGTTCATCCATGCTTTGCTAAGAACTTTCTAATTTGCTACTGGTGTATTTGTCATAAATCTGTATCTTTTGGTCCTACTAATCTATTTGACTTTGCTTAATGTGTGTTTATTTTTCTCTTTCAGCTTCATTTAGGGGTTAGTTCTGTGTCTGACAGCATTGACAGAAACCTACCAAACAGTTCACAGAACTAATACTCCAGGGATTTGTGAGAAATGCACGGTTAATCATTTATTTCTATTAATAGCAGGAGACCTTGACAACTCTCATCAGTTTAGACTTTGATAATAAAAATTAGAGAAACCCACTACCATCACATAACCATATTCTATCTATATACATAGATAATCTTGAATCCAGACTGAAGATGATCTGAGAAGTAGGGATAAAACACTTAAGCTTAAAAGAAAACTGCACATGTATCTATGTGTAAATTCTTCCACTTTTTCTCCCACTTCCTCTGAGGGTACAGGGGAAGACTATGAATTCCACTTTCATTAATTCCACATTTAGTCCCTTAAGGACATTTCTATTTCAGCTACTCTTCTCAGCTTCAAAGCATTACATGTTTGGCAAGGTTTAGATTTAAAAAAAAATAAATGTATGTGGCATGGAAAAATACTTTTATGCATTAAACAAAATACATGTATAAATAAATGACTGCTAAGTACAACGTAACACCTCCAAGATTAAAACAACCAAACAAAAATAGGAGTGAAAGCAGTAAAGAAAGATGGTTTCCATATTTTTCTTTCCCACCCATTTCTTTATAGATGTGTCTGTGACTGACACTGGTTTTATTTGGCATAAATGGTGCTAAATACAGGGCTACTATTTAAATACATGTGTATATATATGCATTGGGCCTGGTTGGGATGGAGTTAACATTCCTCATTGAAGTCTGTGTGGTGCTGTGTATATACACATATATGCACAGAAACACAGGCCTATTTTATACATTTCTTTATATTTGCTGCAAAAAAGCCCTTGAGACAGAGTTAATTTAGCTGCAAATCCAAACACTTTAAAGTCTGGAAATACTATTTTTACAGAGTCTTTGAAACCATGTGCATTCAACCTGTGTACAAAATTAGGCAAAAGCCCTGTGGAGAAATGGCTTGTGAGCACAGACCTGAAAATCTTAACTCAAGTGCACAGCACAGATGTTACTGCTGTGTGACCAACTATGAGTCTGGCATTTTTTCATGTGAGAGTGCCTGCTTTTGCAAGCTGTGAATAATCCTGCATAACACATTTGTTGCATCAAATCTCCTGAAATGTTTGAGCTTTTTCCCATCAGCATTGCAACACAGACTTGCACCTCTGACACTAATGGAAGAATTACATTAGCTAGAACAAGCAGCAGGTTGAAGCCACAGGACTCATGAGAGACTGTAGGTGGAAGCACTCTGTGCTAGACCTGAACAAAAGGGAAGGTGGGAGGAAGGAAGGATATGAGTCAACTCACCCTTCTCCTCACACATGAGGACACTGACCTTCTACATCATCTCTCCTTCTACAAGGAAAAGGTCACTGGAGCCATGTGCATAAATGAAGGTGTGCTACAGGAAAAGCTAGAATCTTGTTCATTTTGCTTCTTTTCCCTAAAGCTGTGTGCTCCTATCTCTATCAAGACTGTACTTGGAAAATGCATATCATCATTCTGTAAATGTGCTGGGCTCAAAGGACAGCCTTTTGACATTCTCATACATCCTCTCTATGAAGTTAAGAGAATGCCCATCCTAAGCCTTTGTAAAAGTGAGCAGTGAGCAAAGGAAAAACAGAAATCTAATTTACTGGGGAAAAATATTAAATGTGAAAGCTGGGCTCTCTCTGCAACTATAGAAATGTGCTAACTTGCAACACAGTTTCTATCTGCAATTATTTTGACGATGTTATGAGCTGGGCCCTACAGAACACTGAGCAATTTTAGCAACATTTTCCTCAAGTGTTCAAGTAAGAAGTAGCAATTAATTTTTTTTACACTTTACAAATCAAATGTGCATGTGTGTGTATATGTATAAATATTCATATGTATTTCCTTGGGGGACAGAGAATACTTCTTTAGGCCAAATAAGCACAGTACTGTGCACACTCACTTCATGATACTTAGTATGCCATGATAATTTAGGATTGTTCAGCATATGAGTCATGTGGCTCAAATCACTTGTCCCTTCATAGTTGCTAAAATGAAAGAGATTTCATGTAAACTCTTTCAGCAATTATACCACCACTATTAATAGAAAAAGGCAACATGATTTCTCTTGATCATTATTATTGAGAGCTGTGGACATTTCCAAGCAACTTGTTACAATTAAAAGCAAATAGTTATGTGAGTATTGGAATTAATGGCCTGATTTCCAATGGATTTATATCTCATGGTTACAAGGCTAAAGGCTGATTATATGCTGCAGGATGTTGCTGTGTATCAGGGAGTAATCCCTCAAGCTACAGCAGCACTTTTTCCTTGCCCTGTGAAAGTTTTCTTATGGGCAGAACATTTAGTGATCTCTTTCGTTCTCTCTCTCTCTCTGTCATGTATTTTCTGCTGCTTAATCAAGTGTGAGTTCATACAGGATCCTCCCCCTTAGCAATGACACGTCCTGATTTATTAACCTTTATTCAGCCACTTCTTTTCACAAAACCTTCAGGAACAATTATTACCTTTGAGACCTCCTACCCTTCTACCAAATTTGGTTGAAATTGACCTGCAAGTTCAGATGACTTTGCAGGCAGCCAGAGAGATTAGCACAAAAAGATCACACTAGCCTCATTTCCTAAGGAAATCAGGCTAAAATCCAAGCCTGTCACTTATTCAGATTATGTTCTACTGCATCTACAGCCTGTGCTCCACTCAGAAACAGCACTTGTTGCTAATGGAAGCTGTCAATGACCCTGCATTGACAAACTGCCACCAAAGTGCTCTTGATGTGATTTATTCCTGCCGTCATTAACTTCACAGCCCACTAGCTGAAAGAAGGTGATGACTCCAAGACAGACAGGAAAAGACAGGCAGAAATAGCACACAGCAGGAGCAGACTCTGTGATGATGGGTGGAAACAGGTGACAGCCTGCACTCTCACTTCAGGACAGATATAGCACAACAGGGGATTTAAAAGGAAGTAGTTGTAAATTTGAAATACGGGACTATAAGGAAATCCACAGTGTATGGTCAAGTTGACACTCTTCTTGTTGGCTCTTGCACTTGGTTCATTCCTATTTCTTCTCATCCTAGACTGAATATTGGAAGTCTTCATTCAGAAGCCTTACCCTTTTTTTTAGGCTTTACATTGGAAAATGCTTCAAGCAGTTCATAGAAGTGCCAAATGGCAGAAGCCTACTAAGAAACACAAGTACCATGTTTTCATGCCCTATGACTGTCTAGCCAAGTGTAAGACAGTTATCTCGCTCCCTCAGCTTCCCATTAAAAAGGTGCCATTGGCATGATCACAGGGGACTGGGATCATGAAGACGAAGCCAATGCTGATTCATCATGACCTCCAAACAACTAGCAGAGGTCCCCTGGCACACTAACTGCTCTTGAAAGCTGTTCCATCCATGTGAAATCCCAAGGGAACGAAGGCATGCAAACACAGTGATGATATCCCTTGCCTGTGTGGTCTAACCTCCTGTGGAAGGGGGTTCTCAGGAGCTTAGCACAAGCACTCACGCTAGCCATCTGTTTCATTTAAATTCTCCATACAGTCCTCTCAGAATAGTGCCTTTGTATAGGTGGTAATAAATGCAGAAAATATATACTGAGCTTTTCTATGTATTTGACAAAGAAGAATATCTTTGTTTTTGTCATTAAAACATAGATTGTTCTACTTGCTAAATAAAGACTGCAACAGGGAATTAGAAACAAAAATTTAAAATATTACTTTAATAAATAATTAAAATCAACAAATAACTTATTAGAAGAGCTGTACTTTGCATACTAACTTCTATAAAAGAGGCATCAGTAACTTGCTAGATATTTGATTCACTATGCTCTAAACACTAAAATGACAAAAGAGACAAAACAATTACAAAAATCTCAGAAGTGATAGAAAATTTAGAATAAACCTTTTTAAAAAAATCCGCTTTTAAAAATACTTCTCAACAGCTTTACATTTTGAATTAAAGTAATAAACCAAACACTAGAAAAATACAAACTCATGGATGCAATATCAGAGAAAAATGCACAGGAATTTCTTCAGTGCATTTCAGAACACAGGAATATGGACCAGATGGAGAAGTAACAAAAAGGTAGAATAGTTTCATGTGATCAATACTTGTGTTTCAGATCTCATATAGTTAAAAGCATGGTGCCTGCTTACCTTTCACAGCGTGGTCCCACGTACCCAGCTGGGCATGCATCGCATATTAATCCACGACTTCGGTCAAAATGGCACGTCGGGCTAAAGCTGTGTTGTTGATATTGAGAAAGAAGAGGGACAAGGAAGAAACATAAAGAAAAGATGGTTAGCAGCATAGCTCTCTTCTCACTTCAGAGATCGTTCATTTGCAAAACAGTGCCCAGGAATAGTGATCCTGGTCTAGGACATAGGGCTTAAGTTTGACTCCAGCAAATTGAATTTGGAATGACTCTGCTATTTCTGCGAGACTGAATATAGAGCAACGGATGGCAGCATCCCAATAGCCTGTTATTACGGGACTTGAGCCTGCCACTGAGTGGTCTGGATACTATTAAAAAGGCAGGAATGTACAGCTGTTTGTTTGTGCCCTCGAGGGCCTGGCAAAACAATCTATGCCATAACGCAGCTCCTATATAAATCTTTCTGAAGGACAACTGATTAAAAACTGAGTTAACTTTGCATATAGTTGGCTGTGAAAGGAACCAAGTGAACAAGAAAGAGGAGGGGAAAAAAGGGAAATATCTGGTGCAGCTTCCCAGAGAGCACATTTGAGTTAATCAAGTGCCAATGACCTCAAGCAACAGGCCACACAGGCACACTGAAGTTTAAGAATAGCTTGCAGACTAGAAAGCTTTACCTCTTTGCTATGCTCTAATTAATTTTGGCTAGTTTGGGGTGGTGTTTTTTTGTTTTGTTGGGTTTTTTTTATATAAATAACAATAATGTAGGCATTTGCAAGCTGCACTTCTCAATGTCCATGTTTAACTCTGAACCATGTTACCTCATTGTTGGCATTTTGCTCTCCGTAATCTTTCTCCCTTAACACACTTTTGTGAAGAAATCTCCTGACACTCTAAAAGACAGAAGAGGCAATCTCTTCTTCTATAATTCTGTAATGGTTATGAGAGACAAGGACATATGAGCATCTTTATAAGGCCTCATCTAAATAATGGTAATCAATTCTGGTCAACCAAATAGAAAAATAGAAAAAGGAAAAAAAATAAAATAAAAGAATGGGAGCAGATGCATCATGAGGTGACAATTCACAAGGGGAAAACAAAGCACCTACCTGAAAAGCAGACACTAAATTTATCTTTTGTAACCTAGGAAAAGAGAAGTTGGGAAGCAACAGAATTGCTCCAAGAAAAACATCAGAAGGAAGGTATATGCAAGGTAACAGTTCATGCTACATTAATAATAAATAAACTTAATCTGACCTTGGATATATTATAATAGTATATACCATGACAGTTTCTGGGAAATAATAGGAACAGGGAACACAGAAATGCTTAATTAAGACCATTTAATGTGATTAGCTGCTGGTGATCATCATGAATCTGTCCTCAGTTACTCTTTATTCTGTGTTATCCCACAGACATAAGACATCAGTAAGAAAAATGGGGGAAGGTCAGGTCCAATAAACATAGATAGGTATTGGGATTTTTCTCTTTCCCATAAGGATTATACTTAGGTTATTTTGCAATGACATTTGATTAACAATTGATTCACGAATGCTGTTCATTCTATTTTTAATAGCAATGAAAGCACACAATATCATTGACTATAATCAGCAGCACCTGACTTACTTCAAATAAGTTCCTGCTTCTCAGCCCCAACCTCAACCAAGAGCTACATGGGAAACTTTGTGAAGATGCTATTGCAGCTCGTTATAGCATTGCACAAAACTGCCTGTACCACAGTTCCACCAAGAGCTGCGAATGCAACTGCATAAATTTTTTAAATGACAATAATAATGAAGCACTTTTTATTACTAAGCAATAATAATGAATAGCAGATTTTCCATGTTTTAAGGGTTATGCTCAGACCTCGCCTCCTTGATTCCTTCTCTGACTTAACAGTCAGTCCACATCTCAACACTAAACATTACTATATCGAGAAATTCCCACCTGCATACTATAAAGAAAATATGTGATAGCGGGCTGAGAAAAAAAGAGTTTATCTTCCTGATTATTGAGAATCTCATTCTGAGGCCAACCCAAATTCCTAGTTCACATGCTATGAGTTTACTTGTGATCTTCCCTGGCTGAGTGAGATATACCTCCCATTTCCAGTGATAAAAATTCCCATTGGGGTCTTCATTACACATATTAAATTTATCACCACATCAAGAGAAGAGCAGTAATTATCCCAGACATCTATATTGGATAGAAAAAAATTACATAGTACTACATCTGATAATTTTTAGGGGGGAAAAAATTGGCTTCTTCGAAACTCCTTATGGTATAAGAAAGTTAGAACAGTTTGTAAGACTGATACACTAATGAGAAGAGATAAGATCAAAACTTCAAATGCCCATTATATATGCCCATTATAACATGGGTATTGATCTCATTTGCATCATATAAGTGCATAAATTGAGATATAAGCAAAAAAAGAAAATATAGCTCAGGATGTAGAAAATAAGCTTAGACATCTTAATTCTAGTTTCCAGATTTGGCCAAGTGCCAGTTATGACTGTTGTGCTTCAGAAGGCAGTTTTATGTTTGGCTTCAATGACTGCATATGGAAACTCCTGCCATTAGGAAACAGGGGAAGAAATGAGCAACAGCTGCTTAAGTTAACTGCAAAACAAGACCATCACTATGCCATTTCTAAAATGGATAGAACAATTCTCCTCCACCTTATGTGGCATTGCAAGGAAAAAACAAGCCAGGTGCTGTGAAAAGAGTGCTGGGAACCACTATAAACATCATAAAGAAATGAGGCACTGCTATATAAGATGAAATTTATTTCTTAATAGAAATGGTCTGGCATGTCCTGATCTATTAAATACTGCAGCACTGAAAATCTATATACAGCTATTTATAATAATTTATAATAATTTGTACATACAGTTAGTCACATGTTCAGATACTCAGAAAGAACACAATATATACTACATTCCTACAGTGACATGACCTTAGTAGAAGTTTCTTTATTTTTCATGTGAAGGAATTTGAATTGTTTACAAATATTATGCCTAGCATAACAAACCCACTGCCAACTATGTAAGAAAGAAAAACAAGTATTTTAACAGCCTACAGGTAACACATTAAATCTTTAACAACTGCTTTTTTTTCTCATAAACAAATTTAGTAATTGGTCTAGAATCATAACTGTCATGAGAGCTAGAACCTTACAATGATTTCTACAAAGCTAAACCTTGTAGGATTTAGGACTCACAGAGTTTCACAGTTCAAAGAATGTTTATATTATGTGTTTGTTTTCTACCTATATTTTTCAAAAAAGGTTAATAATAAATGGGTACTATCAACTTCAAAAAAAGGAAAGTAAAGCATCCAGAACTCTGTTGAATACTTAAGGGGGAACTCCAGGCATTTTGCCAATCAAAATCTAAATTCAATCTATTTGACTTGGTTTGTCGCACATCTGAACAAGACTGAAACCTGATAGTATTTGGTCTGTTTTATCAGCACAGTATTCTCAAACAAGAGAAAGATAATTAATTAACGATGCAAGGAAATATTAATAGGATGTCAGAGGAACCATGTCTAAGCAGACATAATAAACCCACACATATCTAACAAAACCAACTCAAGAGCTGTGCTAACAGTCAGTCAGTCTCCCATCCTACAATCCCTGGAATTTCTGCTGATAAGTGCATGGACTATTCCTGCTCTGATCAGTGCAATTTCACTAGGATGCAGTGACACAGACAAGATTCAGAACAGTTTTATCCAGTGACATCATGTAAAATGATTTTGGTAGTATTATTTTCCAGGCACGGACTGGGACAAAACCAATGAAAATAGGTTCAAGCCACTTGGTCTATTAAATCAAGCTATCAAGTAGCATAGACAAGGTTCTGTAATGAAGGAAACTTCTTCTTGGATCAGAGTTTTGAATAACTTTTCACTAGTATTTTTATTTACTAAAATAAATTTATAGTGATTATTCTGATATATGCTGACAAAATATTTTCACTTGCAAGATCTAAGGATGAATTATGATTCCAAACAAAACACTGAATATAGACTGGAAGGAAAATGGAAGGCAGAAGAAAAATATCACTATTTTATCTGATCAACATCAATTGATTTTAAATTCAATTACAGAAAAAACCCTCACATCTCAAATCTGTAAATTCAGCTTTAAAATTAGAAACAACTACTCTTAAGAAGGATAGAAAAACAAATGCTAGTTATTGATTTGAAAAGCAGCCATCCAAATTCTGTGTTGTTCTTTCTAGCTTTTGTCTTGATCTTTGCCTGTCTGTGAAACTAACCACATTGTACAACTGTAAAAATAAAAGTTTATATTGAAGAATATAGTATTTGACACAAAAAAATCTCAAGTGTACATGCAGAAATATAAATTATGAAGGTATGCAATTTACTACAAAGTAAATGTAATATCAATGAATATACAACTTACTTGTTAGAAGGTATATTTAGGGGGCAAGCACACAACTGACAATCTTCAGCTGTCCCTTTAGTAGGATCACCATAAAAGCCAGGAAGGCATCTATCACAATAAGAACCACCTGTGTTGTGTTTGCAGTCCTAACAGAAGATGAAAAGTACAAATTGACAATTAGAGAATTTACAGATGGAACCTTACATATAAACTCACCTAGTTCATCCTCACACGAGGATTGTAAAAGGTCTGCAACATATATTCTAATTTTCTGCTGCTGGTTAAGAAAGTGTTCTAGAGGTTAGCTGTCACAATCAGTGCTTCATGTGTGTTGGATAGTGATGTGCTTGTGGATATTTTTTTCTATGCAAAGCAAAAAGAATACTTAACTGCAGATATTTACATTTCCACCATACAATAACTACATTATTGTTTTAGCTTGCTTAAAGAAAAAACAACCTTCAGAACAGCATAGAACAGGTCTAATATTGCAGTCTTGCAACAGGCCATATTTTGTGAGTTTTCAGATGTTTATTCCAAAAACACAGCCCAGACTATATAATTTCTAAAAATGAACTATGACATTTCACATATAAGTGCCTTAGTTCATTTTACAAGGTATATGGCTAGCAGCATTTCTAAACAGTAGCAAAGCCTGAATTACTTAATTAACACTTGTTAGAATAGCATCGACTGTTTTGTGAGCAGAAACAAGGACAAGTATGCTCTATATAGGGTCCTATCCAACAGTTTACATTTATCTATGTGACTGCCCTTCATAACAGAAGAGACAGCTAATCTGAGCATATAAAACATGCTACGTAAAAATTGTAGTACTAGATCTGCATTTTTGTATATAACTTCTGGCTGATCTCAAATTAAATGATCCTTTAAAAAATGGAAATTAGTCCTGTGAGAGTCGGCTTCCCATGATGCCTTGGTTCTAAGTTTTAAAAAATAATTACCCTTTCTACTCTTCTTGCCTCTCACCACATAGGATTTAGAAATTCTAAATATTTTTTGCAGAATTCATAAAAGATTCAGCAAATTAGTTTTCTGGCTTAATCCCTTTCCTTTTTTCCCCTGTTTTCAGCACACGAAACTATTCCTTTCACTGCTATTTGGCACAAAATACCCAAGTGTAGCTTTTTCACAATGGAAAACAGAAAGCAGCAGGACTGATTTTGGCTGTTAAATGCCATCTTGATCTGTTTGGGTATGGACTGAAAAAGCATATGGCAACTTGAAAAGGTCAAAATCAAAGCCATGAGAGATATTTTTATTTAATGGACTGTGTTTTGCTGTATTTTAGACAACAGGCCAGATCAAATCTACAATCTGTTTCACCCAAGCTGCTGTGTAAGAACTTTGGGGTTTGTTTGTTTTGTTGGGTTTTTTTAAAGGTGTGGATAATTCCAAACTTAGGATTTAATTGAAAATTTTTTTAAAGAACACTTTAAAATTGTTTTAGCACTTTAATAAGTCATGCATATGATACTGATTTCTATTTAACTGCCTTACTGTATAAAAGACATACTTCAATAAAGAAATGGCAGCATTCTAAGAAACATTAATTTCCTCTTCGCACTTTTCCAGAATTGGAATGATTTGTACAGGTTTTTTGCATTGTGTTCTGTACAGCCAGTACCATACACTTGGGCAGCTGACAAAGCACAATAGCCTTTTCAGTCATGAGCTCATTGGAGTCAAAAGCATCTGTATCCAGAAATGCTGTTTGCTGTTTCAAAGGGTGTATTCTTATTGCTATTGTATACAACCAATATATCTTTGAAATTAAAGCATTAGTTGTAATATTATATTTTAACATATTTAGTAGATTGTAGGCTAATACCAACTATTGAGACTCTTAATCAAATAAAATTATGTCTTTAGAACAGTCAGCTGGGTTGCTGAGTTAAAATCAACTTCATTAGGTCACTTAAGTCCATTTGATTGTTATTTCAAGTGCTGACATTCAAAAAGAATCTACCTGCCATACCGAAAAAGAAGCTTGGAACAATAAGATATGCTTTTAAAAGAAGATGTGACAAAAATAATTTAAGTGTTTCAAAAGAAAAAACCTTTGCAATTCAACTTTTTAAGGCATCATGTCAAATTATTTGTACTTTTTCTGAAAAATAATGGATTCTTCTTTTGTGTTAAGTTTAGCTTTAAATATCCTCAGACATATCTTAACGTTTTTGAAGAATATGAACAGCTCATATGTCAAGGCTGTTATTAAAGTGAGAGGAGCTAACACATTATTTTAAAGCTTTGCATCTCTTGCTGAGTGGTATTTGCAGCTTCTGCTTTTTTTGAAAGTAAAAAACCCTGCAACCTTCCATTTTGTAGAAAAATAATTCACGTTACAAAGACCTGACTGCCTTCTCTTCTATGAAATATTTTCTGGCATTCTAACATCATTCATTTTCATGTACTGTGTCTACTTCTTCTCAATCCACATCTCTGTGTTTATTTCCTCACAATCACAGAATCATAGAATGACCAAAGTTGGAAGGGACCCACAGTATCATCAAGTCCAACTCCTAGCCCTGCACAAGACCATCCCAAGCATCATACCATGTTCCTGAGTGCATTGTTCAAATGCTTCTTGAATTCTGGCAGGCTTGGTGCCTTGACCACTTCCCTGGGAAGTCTGTTCCAGTGTCCAATGATCTGAGTGAAAAACCTTTTCCTAATATCCAATCTAAACCTTCCCTGACATAGCTTCATTCCATTCCCTTGGGTCTTGTCACTGCTCACCAGAGGAGAGATCAATGTCTCCCTCTCTGCTTCCCCTCATGAGGAAGTTGTAGACTGCTATGAGGTCTACCCTCAGTCTCTTATCCAGGCTGACCAAACCAAGTGATCTTAGCTGCTCCTTGTATGGCTTCTCCTCTAGACCCTTCACCATCTTCATAACCCTTTTTCAAATAGCTTTGTATCCTTATATCCTGGTGCCCAAAACTGCACACAGGCCTCTCCCAGCTGGCTGGCAACGCTGTGCCTAATGAACCCCAGGACACGGTTGGCCCTCCTCCGTGCCAAGGCACATTGTTGACTCATATTAAACTTGCCATCAACCAGAACTCCATGGTCCCTTCCCACAGTGCTGCTCTCCAGCCTCTTGATCTCCAGTCTGCCTTGTCCCGGGTGCAGAATCCAGCTCTTGTCTTTTTTAACTTAGTATACCTTCAAACTTAGTATACCTTCAAGTCCTGCATCCAAGGTGTTTACAAAGATGTTGAAGAGAACTGTGCCTTAAATGGAGCCCTGTGGAAGCCCACTAGTGACTGATCATCAGCATGATGTAACTCCATTTACTAACCCTTTGCGCCTGACTCATGAGCCATTTGCTTACCCATGGCCTGATGTGTTAATCCAGCTGTATGCTGGACATTTTGCTCATAAGGATACTGTAAGAGACAGTACCAATCAACAGCTTTACTGAAATCCAAAAAGATTACATCAACTGGCTGCCCTTGATCATCTGGGTAGGTTACCTTCTTGTTAAAGGAAATTAGGTTTAATAAGCAGAACTTTCCACTCATGAAGACACTCTGGCTGTGACAATGACTGCACTGTCCTTCAGGCATTTTTCAATACCTCCCAGAATAATCTTCAATGTCATTTTACCAGTCACTGAAGTGACACAGGCCTGTAGTTTCCATGTCATCCTTCTTGCCCTTCTTGAAAACTGGGACAACTTCAGTCACTTTCCAGTTAACTGGGACCTTTCCAGATTCCCAAGACTGTTCAAAAATCATTGAGAGAGATCCTGTGATAACATGAACCAGCTCTTTGGGTAGACTTGGATAAATCCCATCAGGCTCCCTAGATTTATAGGGATCCAGCTGGAGCAGCAGATCCTGCACTAGTCAGTGATGCATTAAAATTCATGCTAGATGGCCAAATTTACAGATCACTTTAAGTACTGAAGTAGACGAGTAGTAGTAGTCTACATATCTTAGTAGTCCTTCTAAAGATATCATCAACACTTCTGAAAAATTTGTGCTTTCTCGATATCAGTTGGTTGAATCTCAGTTTGAAACTTGCCAAATGTACAGCAATGGTTTTGAATATCATCTAGTTTGAGAAATGTCTAATTTAACTGAGATTATTTCCTTAAAACAGGCTTAAGCCTGTGATCCCTTAACTTTACGTTCATAGGAACATTGAACTACTTTTCTTGTATCATGAGTCTGGGTATGAAGTAGATTGTGATCAACTGTCTCTAACCTGCTTAGTACATTGTATAGGCTTTCTTTTTTTCCCCATGGAAATAGAGGTTGTTCCAAAACATTGAACTAGTGGTCAGGTAAAATCAATGCCTGTTTTTTCACAGATCCATAGAATTTGTAGCTAGGAACAATTTTATGTCCAAATATTTATGCTTTCAAATTCAAAGTACTGCATTGCAAACTATTTTGAATGCATCAATTGTCTGGATGTCTTTTATCTCTAAGAACCATTAAACTTCACTTAGACAACCTCTGAGCAAGTAAGACTCTGGAATTAATTTTTGTCCAGAATTTTATGCATGACTCAGAACTTGTTGCCTGAAAACTTTATTGCTGATGTCCTGGAGTGTGTTTTCCACCATTTCCTACTGAGTCAGCTCACCTTTTTTGCAAGAAACCAAAGGAACATGCCCAATATCAGGCAACCCCCAATTCATACTGAAAACCACTCCTGCTTAGCTACATATGCAGCTTAGAGTAGATGAACATGGAAAGAAACAGTCTGAATAGAATGCTAGTGCTGAAAATAAAACTTTAATCAGGGAGTATGACTGAGTCCAAGATAGTGCCTTTGGCACACTGCTGCCCTTCCTCAGGATATCTGTCACAAGGACAACCAGGAAAGCTGTTAAATCTAGCTGAAGAAAACGAAAGCATAAGCCTGGGTGCCTATTTTAGCATATTCCCTAGTCGTCTAGACCCGACAATGGTATTATGTCTTTGGAAGCATGAATATGCTCTTCTAGCATTGTCAGACTACCGTAATGTCAAGGTCACACAGACAATTCCCTTTTCTGGTGTTACAAATGTAATCAGAATGTTGCAGAGGCTCTACACATTTTCATCTACAGACTAGCCTATACTGCATTTAGCTCGGATGTAACATTTTATTACCGCATATATAAAGATGGGTGAAAACATTTTGTCATTCTTGTGATGAGCACTGTCTTAAGCACATGTCCTGTAGCTCTGACAGTGGCCTCATCCTACTGTATATGTATATATATATACACACATATACATATAGTATATGCTGTATACATAGTACATGCTGTGTACACATGAATTAATACAATACAAAATATATGCCACTGGGGACTACCCATTTAGCAATTTAAGCATATCTTAGGGGAGAAATATCTGCTTTCTCTGAGCTTACTAATAGGAATGTAGTATCCTGCAATGAATGAAACACCTTGAAATGTATTTGTTTTTCACTAGGATTAGTTTTAACCAACCTCCTAAAGCTACTGTAAATGTATGTGTGTAATACTACAAAAGAGTATTTCTGAATGTTAGAACTTGCCCTACGTACCAAAGCAGTTATGTATATCACAATGGTAATGAGAACGATGTATCATGCAGTTCTCTCTATGGCTGCTGTGGGGATCAAAGGGCTTTGCAGGTTACTGCAAGATATGCGTTAAAATGAGCTTTTTATACAGGCCTGTGTCAAAGCAGATGATTTGAGCTTTTATCACAAGTCAAAAACATATTTCAGCTTCTTTTCAACTACATTTCAAAGCTAAGGAAGAGCAAAAAGAAGTATCATATCAGTAAATTAGGTGCCTAAATTGTCTGTTGTATTACTGAAAAAAACACCATGAATAATAATAAGGAGGCCAAAAGGCTGTGTAAACCTCAATAGAAAAAATGCCTTTGATGTGAAACATTTCTTTTTTTCAGCATTCAGACTTCTCCCTCTTTCACTTCAAAAGGCTTATGATCCAAATTGAATAGCAGCATTTAACAGCCTGCATGGATACTAACCAATCTGACTTAGAGTGCTTTCAAAGTTGCAAGAAAATCCAGAACTGATTTTAAGCTCCCTGTGTGCCTTGTCTCTATAGCATGATCTAGTATAAGCTCAGTCAGAACACATAAAATACAGAGTGCTTGATAATGTGTATAGATTAAAGTACATTTTCAACTAGTTATTTTCCACTTCCTTGTCAGTGCAGTGTTATCTTACACCAGCACCCTTGAAACATCAGAAGGGGGAGCTCCACTGTCTCAGTCAACAGTTCACAGCAGCTGAAAAGCACAAAAGCACTAAAGTATGCAACTCCATGGCATTTTCTCCTATTCAGGCTGGTGCTACAGACAAAAATAAAGAGGGAACCTGTGCAAGGGCTGAAACCTGAAGACAAAGATGCCAATAAACTCAGTACTTGCACCCAGCTATGTACCCATATGCAAAATAGTCAACAGCTATGATATACCTTAAATAAGATTCCCCCTTCCCTTTCACTTCTGCTAATTGATTTTATCCCACACTGATGTTACAGACATAGTAGCTGGAGTAGTCATTACTACAATAAATTTTTGTCAGGAAACTCATCCATATTACCCTAGTGATAAACATTTTCATTGCGTATCAAGTGAAGGATTCAAAACATGACTGTCACGTCAAACATATTTTTCATCCTAGGTACTTCCTTGAGCCTTACTGTATAATTAAATAGAGAATCATTTTAAACTTCTATTCATGAAAAAGCAATTTGAAAAATTCTGATCCACACATTCAGTATATCTTGTTTTGCAGTGAAATGAAATTAAATGTATTCTATGGGCAAAACAGGAAGAACAGTAATAATTCTAAGTGCCAAATTATATTGGAAAAAGCTTGGATTTTCGTTTTGGATTTTTCCCAGCAGGTTTTTCTTAAGAAAATAAAAGGAAACATTTAGAAACATGCATAATACAGAGTCTGCATGAAATTCTGCAGGGAAGTGAGAGTATGATAGCCCACTAAACTGGCACTGGCTTAAATTGTGCTTCTGCAAGACTAATGAAATGAGACATGTTGTTTCAACCTTCATGCTATGTCAGACAATATAAAACTAAAAATGCCCTTGAGTCAATCAGAACAGTCTATTCAGCATAATTCACCCATTCCAAAGGCTACTGAATGGGGAGGAAATAGTGGTGTGCTGGTAGGCTTGCTATGGATAATATCACAGATTTAATTGCTGAATTAGTAGGTAACTACATACAGTCTCCATAGCCTACAAGACAAGAAAAAAAAATTTAAAAAAAGAAGCTGATTTAGCCCAAATCATATGCTTTTATTATTTCTCTGAAGTACAAGTCATTAAGTATTCTTCCAAGGTTTAGTATGAATTTAGATGAAGGAGGCCATTAACAATATCTTCTCATCAAGCTAGAAGAGAATTTACAAAGTTGCCTCCTACATACTGTAAATTGAATACACTGCAGGAAACAAATGGGAGGCGGAGATAAATCTTGCATGGAAAAAGATTAATATATTTGCAGCTTTCTGCATGCCATACCTTATACTATTGAGTCTATTTTCAAACATTAAAAAAATCCTTTTTTTTTTTTCTGGAGCTGTGAATGATATTCTATCTTGGTATGTTGGGACCTTTAACTTCTGCAGAAGCTCAACATAAAGATCTATTCTGTTAATCGCTAGCTTTTTTCTCCTTGAACATATCAGGTCTCTGAGGTCACTAATTCACTTGCACAGGTATGCTGAATAGATGTTGGCTATGTCCATCAAGTTTCCTCTACTGACACTTACCAGGCATTCTCCTGTGATATCATCACATGACTCTGCATGACCAAAGCATGTACATGGTGCACAGATTCCACCAAAAATCGTGCCATTCACACGCCTGTGTTGAGGCCAACAAGACTGCAAGGTAAATTGATAAAAAGTTAAACTCTCGCTTGAATACAGAAAAGAATGGGATTTCAAAAATATTGTTGAATTTAATACTTGCACACACACAAAACATACATGCCAAAGGAATAAAAATACCAACATTTATCTAAAAAATTGTTCTTCCTGGTGCTCTGGCTTTGTACTGACCTTAGCCTTAGTGACAGGTGTGAGGTTAGAGGAAGCCTTAACTTGATCATTCTTCTGAAATGGTAAAATAAAGCAGAGAAATGAAGAACTGAAATATGACAGCATCAAAGCAAGAGGTACAGATTGAAAAACAGTCAGAAGGTAAAATACTGAAGGAGAAAGAAGGAGGGAAGAAAACCTCTAAACAACAGAAATATTTTCTGAGAAGCTCAGCTGCAAAGAGCAATTAAAATATCATTTAGAAACAAAAGGCTACACTGAAATAAAGCACAGGCTGAAAACAAAGCCATCCTTTTATTTATACATTGTGCTTTTTAAAGTATAGTAATTTCCCTTTAAGAAAGTGCTCTAGGTTAATTTTTTATTTTTTGTTGGTTATTTTGTTTGTTGTTTGGGTTTTATTTAAATGTCAAATTCAAATCAATATTAAATGTGTGGCCAGTCATTTTGTAGGAAAGGTGACACCATACAACTCCGATTCCTCAGCAAAAACTCAGCTATTCCATTTCTCAATAATAAGACGTCAAGGAGCAATCTTCCTTACTGTATATTTCACAAATGGTTTTATAGTTTTTGCAGACTATCTTTCCACAGTAAGACTGCTCATGTGATCCAAGGTTTTTGCATATTAAAAAAAAAAAAAAAAAGTGTGACAGAGCATTGATCTTCAAAAGCACCTGGCTGATACAGAGAGAAAGTTTGGTAGTCATAGAAGACTAAAAGTATCATTTAATAAAGAAAATCCCTTCCCCTTCATGTAAACTCTCCAAAAAGGTAGCAAGAAGATTCTTCTTTATAAAAATAAAGTTGCCGTGTTTCGTCTTACTTCTGAAAAATATGAAAGTAATCTAAAGATTAGTACAAATTATTCTTTTTAAAAAATATTCCAAGACCTGAGACAATATCCTTCTTTTTCTTTTTTTACATGCCTGGCTACACATTCAAAAACCCCCCATAAATGCTAAAAACTAAAATCTAGAATTATAAAATCCAAAACCTAAAAAGAGGTTAAAAAAATTGCCCTATTTTTCTTTCTGTAGCATGAGATGCAAGTCTCTAAGTGGTTTCTGCATAAGTCTATAAATCTTTTTCCTCTTTCAGTGGCTGAAAAGAATGAACTTGTGCACAGACACACGTGACATTGTGCAAGACAAGGCTCCAAAAGTCACTGATTCTAAGGGCTCAGATGTGTAATATTAACAGCAAGGCTCAGAACAGAACTAAAAGATTAGAGAGTGAGATCTCAACAAAAGAAATTATGCAACATTCAAAAGCCAGGAAAGTTCTTGACCATCATAGTGATTGATGCGAGTTAAACACAACTTCTTCTGCAGTGGAAGTAAAAGAGTAGATAGAATAGGAAGAGATCTAGGGGAGAAGAGAAATTAGATGTGAAGATGTTGATGAATAAAGACCAGAAAATTCATGAGTGGGGCAAAGTAGCTATCACAAATGAATCCAATTGGCATTAGAAATTTTAAATTTTATCTGCTTTACCTGTGCTCAATTCTGTGTCAATATACATGCAAAAATCTAAGAATTTTATTTGGCCAGAATCTTGTCAAAAACTAATTCCAAATTTATGCAATGGAACATTCTCACAAGAAAGAGCATAGTTTAAATGGGATTGGTTGTCTCCTGAAGACTGGTCATGCCCAAACATTCACAGCAAGAAAATGAGTAAATAATGGCTGGTTTTAGTGCTGCAGCATCTATGCCAGGTACCACAACATCATTATGCAGGAGACAAATACATACATTAAATTAAATAAAGAAGAAAAAAGCTGACTACATTAAATTAAATAAAGAAGAAAAAAAAAGTCTGCAAAAAAGTCAATAAAAATGAAACTCTGCTAGGTTGAAACCAACAGAAGTGTTGGACAAGGCCAAATGTATTCAGAAGAAATAGATATGGTATCTAAAAAAAAAACAAACCCAAACATATTCAATTTATGTTTCTATACTTTCTTAGCTTAGCCTGTCTGAAAATCTAAAACTTCACCCTTCCCCCCCCCCACCCCCATAGGAACATAGCATGCATAGAAACTTCAAATTTGCAGCTATATATGCACTTTCTCTTGTGGACAATGATATTAAATATATATCAAATTTCAGGGACTGTTTATGTTGGAGAGAAAATTTAGCACTGAAGGACACAATGTTGAACTGAGAATTTCAGCAACACCAAGGCAGGACTCCTATCCAAGTCCTTCAGTTTCTACAATAGATGCAATCTGGGCTTTCCAATTCCTGTCTTGGACATCTCACCTAAATCTGAATTGAGAGAAAAAAATGGACACTGAAAAAAATAGTGTGAAGCACAACAACACTTCATCCAGCTTTTTTCTTAAAATAATTGAACAGACAATGGTCAGACATTAAAATTATTTCTCAGCCAGAGAAATATACTTCTCCAGTTATTTTTCCATCTGTACCATTTTGGAAGTGATAGGAATATCCATTAATACCTTCAGGCCTTCTTTCTACATTAGTTTATCTAGCCCCAGCAACAAGCAACCACATTTGGCATGAAACTAGACTCTAAGCCCTAAATATCACAGATAAGCATGAAAAATTTTAAAGAAAAAGAGAGTTGACAAGCAAATGCCTAGAGTGCCTGTGTAAATGGCACACTGTTTGTAGTTTTGTGAAGCAGAGCATCTTGGTGTTTGAAACTCTTTCCTTAAAGGCAAAGCTTGTGAAGATTTTTTTTTTGGCTTCTATTTACCCCAAGCTATGCTCATGTGAGCTGGTTAATCATACATTTACTTGTATGAACACATTCTGTGTGAACTAATGAATTTGTTACAAAAGTGGATATTTTTCTGAGTATGTGTCTATGTTATTATCTGTTACACGACCAAAATAAAGTGAAACAATTCTCACAAGAACACACACACAATTCTCAAAGACTCCAAGGCAAATAGCAAAGCCCTAGAAAAACAAAAGAGGAAACTCAACCCAGATAACTTGATCCAGCTTTGCTGTGCACAGGTCAGATAACTGTGTACTACTAATGAGTCTAATTTTGATAGGCTCATTCATTTGTATTACCAATTGGCTGAAGAGTACAAATATTGTTTTCACTTCCTTTTTATTAACCAAAATGTCTTTTCATAAATTAGAAATTACCACAGAGGTGTAAAACTTCAGATTTTAAATATTTTGAAATATAATTAACCACCACCGACAAATAATGGTAACTAGTCAAACCATACCAAATTCCCAGCAGGAAAGGACAACTCTCTTACTATTTTCTACCAACACAGGTCCACTGACTGCTTACAGCTATACAATGTTAGCACAATTGAACCAGACTGCATCGTGATCCTCACCTCACACGAGGTACCATCATAGCCTGGAGGACAGTTACACAACTCCACCGCAGACGCCACCCTTCTCCCCGTTGAAGTGTGGTCAGCAGCTTCCATGATAACTCTTCTTAGTCTGGACGTAACAGAAATGAAGCAGTCAAAATAGCAAATTAGGTGGAATTATATGTGCAGCTGAATGCAACAAACAGTTTACAGTGACTGTTTTCTGTTTCCTCGAGGAAAAGGAAGGTTTTCATATTCATCTATTTCTTCCTAAACTACATATCTGTAGCCTTGTTACTATTTTTGTTCATCATGTGAGGGAGACTATGGTCAGACACACATTGATAAAAATAGACTAAAAAAGTCTCACAGCACTGTACCAGGAGATGGAAGGTTATTCCTGGCCTGCAAGCCACATGTGCCAACTTGCATTGCAGCTGCATATAGAGCGAATGTGACGCTATGCAGTGTCTTCAAAATTTATAAACCACTAGTCCAGCTTTCTAAAATATTACATTGCAAAGTTTTGGTTACAGAGTATTTTTAGTCTGCAGATCTGACCTCTGAAAAAGATTTCAGCCATGTCCATGAGGATCTGATTATTATGTATCTGAAAGAAAAATGTATGTACATGGAAGAAAAAGGAAATCTTCTACCATATACCCTGATTTCTTCAATGACAGAGAAAAATAAATGCTACACATTGGCTAATCAGCCATTGCTTTTATTTTAAAATTGTTTTTATTTGAAAGCATGGAAACATGATGAGAGAAACAACTAAAATCTTTTGATAATCTTACAGGTATTATGTGAAACATATGTAGTTTACCTCAACAATATCCATTTGGGGAAAGAAACTGGGATTTGGGAGTTTAATTCTTATGACAATTCAGAAGGAACATTAAGGTATTACAGTGGCTCAATTACTTCTATTTTCACCTGGTAATCTAAACAGAATGTTTGATTACCACAGCTACTTGAAAAGCATCTTTTGAAGGTTTTTTTGCAGCAGAAAATACCTTTCAATCATGACACTGCATTTTCTTTGGAAAATGTAAAAAAACCTTTTTCCAACTACCTCCCCCTCCCCTCCCCCCTGAAGGCATTTATCTTTTGGTTGCAAAAAAATCCTGAAAATTGTTTGGATGACCTTGGATAAGAAAACATCCAAGAAAAATATTTTGTAGTTACTGCAGCACTTAGAGGAAAGGTTAAGACAGGATGTTTTCCCAGTCCATTTTATGCCTTCTCTCAATAAGAAAGATATTAAATTTAAGGGGTGGGGGGAAAAAGGAAGATTTCTGAAATTAAGATAGGAGCTTCAGAAACACAGAAATTTTACCATCACTAGGAATATGACTGGACGACTGGACTTTGGGGGGACTACCATTGCAGATTATGCAGTTAGTAACTTGAATCTGATTTAGTGATACTAGAACCTCTGTAAAAGGTTCTTGATACTGTTTTAAGAGAAGGATGCTTGTTCTTATCCAGATCTTCAGTAAATTCTCTCTCACTTTTCAATATTTCCCATTCACTCCATCTCTGCATGCTTATTTTGCAATCATCCATTTGAGTTTTCCTCACAATAAGGTGACTAATCTCTAAGATATTAGATATCAAATAGTGATGACTTTAACAGTAAAAAAAATAAAATCTAACAATTTAAGGAGAAAATCTGCAAACGAAATTTTTGTAAAAGGCCAGATTTTAGTTCTCTTTTGAAATACAGCTAGTTCCCTCTCAGCACAGATCTTGGAACAAAGAGAATCACAAACACACAGAAACAATCCACCCAGTATTATCCCACATTTGTATTCACTGAATTGTTCCAATTTTCATTACATTCTGCTATTTGCTAAATGGGATTTTAATGTGTTTAACAGTTTTTAGCATTAACAGTTACTCAGTGAAGAAAGCTGCAGTGATTTTTTTCTCTCATTTTGATGTTGCAATTTTGATTCCTCAATGCCATTCTGCATTCATTAAAATACATAATGCTGGCAGTAATGGGGCACTGGATCCTGGAGATGCATGAACAATTTGATATTAGACATCGAGACCAAATATTTAAACTGATTGTTACTGTCAGCAGGCAACTGTTGACTTCTAAAAACAAACAAGATTAAAAGGGAAGGGGACATTTCAGGCAGTATCAGCATAGTTTACTGTCTGCTGTGCCAGGCATCTGAATCACATCAGCATGTGTAGTACTGACCCAATCATAGCTCTTCGTCTTCAAACCAATTCTGCACATGGAAGAAACTCTCCCTCTTTTTCATTGTATCTAGCACTGACTCCTCTATATGTGGTTGCAAGCAATGTATCATCTTTAGCACCATAATTTCCAGTGCCTATTTGCTTGTTTACATTTACCATCAGTGACCACTCTGAATATTAGAAATGAATAAACAGTGCTACTAAACTTACTTTGAAGCACAAGCTAACAGATGAAACAAAACAATAAAAGAGAGTTATATTTTCTGGCCTGTTGCTTCTACTACAGATGGACTTAACTGCAACAGTTTGGAAGATCTGTCAAGTTAGAAGAGGATCAGGATTTAAAACCAGAAGCTGGGTTCACTTTCAGACTTATTGCTGCATTTTTGTGTTCTCATTTTTTATCCAGCTTTATCATCTTAATGAATGCCCACTACTACAAGTAAGTTTCGTAATTATACCATAAAGAAGTATCATTGTAAACTTAAAATGACCCAAAAAATGTACTCAAAAACATGCTTAAGTCAAACTCCCCGTTACTGAATTAATATTGTTTAGTGGCTATTTAAAAGTGTTACCAACTAGTGTTTCTAGTAGGTTAAACTACACAAGGGTTAAAAATACAATCTTTAAATTAAAGGTCTTCCTAACTGGAGACAATTCCATTGAATATTTAGATCTCTTTCTACATGACTGCAAGAAGCTACTTAATTGTGCAATGTCTCCATTCTGGTCCCTTTTTAAGCACAGTTTATAATAGCAGCCTTGGAAATCCTTACACATGTGGAGTCATTACCCATTTTGAAAACTTTCGGTATTTAAATGAACAGGTTGCTTAATATAGCAATCTCTAATTAGTATGTTGCATAATTCTACTGGTGCTTTGAGGCAGAAATTGTCATTCATGAAGGATCTAATAACTCTGCTATATTTCTGTCTCTCTGCCAGGCCCTTTTAACCCTCTCAGAGGAATATCCATCTGTCCACTGTACATACCTGTTTAAAGACAATAAAAACCTTTGAGTTCATATCTGCTTGTCTATTAAGGCTTAGCTCTACACTATTGCTTTTCAAAAATGTCTTCATTTGGAGACCATCAACAGTAATCCTTAATCAGCCCAAGATATCACAAAGAATATCCTATTCATTGGGTCTACATTTTCCCTGCAGTACTAAAAGGACAGAATATGGAGATAAGAGTTGTTTTGCATGATCTGAGAGTTATGAGCACAGCTTTGTACTTAGTATGCTTTTAGCATGAGTGGAAGTCAAAGAGAATATAAAAAAAAGTCACTACCAGGGCATGCCCTGAAAATCAGCAATATGCCTACACAACAGATCACAAACTGTGCTGGATGATAGTAGATGCTGTTGTTGCTGCATCAGGTGAATGGAAGCATGAACTGTTCTGACAAGACTTAACACCACTCAGTAAATCCCACCCTGATGGGTGAAACTGTGATTCCTACAGTTAAATCAAAGATGATGAATCAAATCAATTTATGATTAAAATTTCGAATCATCTCTTCTGTCACGCTAATCTGCAATGAGCACCCTGATAGCACTCAATAATGTGTGTTTACTTTACACTTGTGGACATGCTGAGAGCAATCACAGTAACACAGTAACAATTGCATTCCTGTGTGGTAAGAAACATCATATGGACAGCTAGAGATGTACCACTAATGTAAGACCATTTCTAGCAAAAATTATACTCTTCAAAATAACTTCAGGCCCTTCCCCTAAACTGCCTTTCAACTCATTGTCTTTAAGAGACCAACCTTCTTAACTGTAATGTCAATACATCTAGAAGTTGGTGGCTACTAACTCGCAAAGCATAGATTATATGTTTGCTCCAGAGCTCTTCCTGAAGAATATTTCCAAGACATATTTTTGGATAAATATCTATAGCACACCACTAAACTGTTCCAAAGGCTGAATAATAACAGGAGTACAAAACAGTGAGGCACTACACATGGCCAAATGGCTGAAGAAATAATCTGGGATGCAGGCAGTGATGCATAGTCTTCCAAATGTGTCACAGAAAGGTCTGCCACTTCTTACTTACAAAGCACAAACTGTTCCAGTTCTACATGTGTGTGTTGACCTGAGTTCTGTGCTGTTTCCCAGAAGGGATCTCCTCCATCCCACCTGCACTGTTCCACAGTGGAGGCAAGATGAAGCCAGTACATGTCCAGCAATGCACATTCTTCACAGATTGTAACTGGCTAGCCAAAATGGCTTCTCATTCTAGTACAAATGTCAGTACACAAAGATACGTAAAACTCCGATAACGAAAGTTTGCATTTCTCATAATACTTAGTAAGACACTTGGCCCAAAGATAATCATACATATTTCCTTTAAAAGACCATAGCCTGAAAGTCCCAATTGTTCACCCCAAAATTGCTCCGGTACTCTTTTAGTTTGGAAAATTCTGACTAATGGTTTGGAGTTTTTCTTATTTGAATGAGAACAGAGTGGAGGAACAGCACTCACTGAGCTCCCACTAGTCTCAGCTGTAAACTGTAGATTAACAGCTTCTCATGGTCTGCTCACAGTGTATAAGAGATAGGCTCTGGCCTAGTGTTTTGGCTCTCCTGTAACACCAGAGTGGGAAGTTGATGAGGCATGAAATGTTTTCAAACTGAATGCAAGGAGGTACAAGGCTGACGACCAAATGAGCAAATTAGGAAGCAGTTTGGCCCAAATTCAAGTTAGTTATGATTCAAAAACTTATTTACAGAGATGTAATACATACTAATTAACCACAGGAAGAGACAGAGATTGAAGAAATATTAATTTGTTTTTGCAGGAAAAAAAATTTACACTGCCAAAGCTCAAATCAGAAAACTGCATACTGTTGACACAACCTGCCTTTCAATTTAGGATGTATTTTAATTACCTAAGTATTCAAATGATGGTTGGATTGCTTCAGAAATTTCACAGTAGCAAAAACTGTGTCTATGCTCTCAGCAAATAATCACTAATGTGCTATCACCTCCCTCCATTCCAAATTGGCTTATGTCGCTGAATCAAGTGATGTGTAGATTAGAGAACATTTTAGGTTTCATGCCTTGTGAGTAAAATACTACTATGCAATCAATTCCATTGCACATTTAAAAATATGACTTATGCCACCTAACTATTAATGTATAGAGAGTGCAATCATACAGTATCAGGAGAGAGGCTGTCTTCTAGCCCACCTGGAGTATTTGCTCATGCATTCTTGAAAATTTGAAATGCAAGATGAACTTTACAGTTTCAACCACACTGCAGTCACTGAAATAGAACAACTGTGTCATCTCATATGTCTTTAATTTTATCAGAGGACTCAGAAGAGTTCACATAAAATCAGTGGTTTTAAGCAGTCCAGGCAGCATCCTGACATAAATCAAGGGATTATCCAGTTCTGTGTGTGGTACTGATTAAAAACACAGAATACTCCCCTCAAGGCATTTTTCCAGTTTAGAGACTCAGGATGTTATTCTCTGGTCTACTGTTAATGTGGCCCTGTACGGTCATTAAACAAGGAAAATGATATATAAGCAATATATCATCTCTTATTTCAACATGCCATTACTTCACTCCATGATTTACCATATACATGGCAATTACAGTGTTCACAAAACAAACATATTTATAGAACTGTCATTCATGCCTTAATAGTCCATGTGATTTCATTTTCTTAAAAGCTGCTTCTTTCTGTTGCCCACCTCCTCCTGCCTACCCAAAATAAAAAACATACTGACAACTCCGTGAAAGTGTAAATGAATGCTATAGATTTCATGATAATAAATTAGCGTGTTTTAAATTACATCAGCTTAGTGCCCCGAAGAGAGAAAACAACTGTTTTGGGAATCTGCCCATGGCGAAGGGACCTGTTTCCCACATTCACCTGTAGATGGCATTCATCCCATTGCTGTACGTGGCTCTTATGAGGATCCTCTTCACATTTGCAAGGATAGTCATGAACTCCCTCCTCCTGACTGGCACATCGGTGCCATGCACTGAGAAAGATTCTGGTTTCAGCACAATTTCTTCAGTGTACTCTTCAGAAGGCTGCAGGTGAATCCCAGCTTTTGGAGTGCTGATTCTCAAGTCACCTCCCTAGAGACAGCCATGAAAGACAGATTTAAATATGAAAAAAATGTAATGGGAAAAGCCAGTTGGGGCACATGATTTATTGAATAATATATTTTACAAGAATAACAACTATCAGGAATAATATTCACTTTTGATAACCCTGAAATGGACTTGCCTGATAAAATTGAAAAGCAGTGCGAAACAAAGTTTAGGAAATTCAAATAAAACCTAGTGTCATGGATTTGCATAGGCAAAAGCATATTCATACAATGCTGAGCGGCACAGGAACAGATCTGCTGAAAGAATGTGAAAGTGTTACCTCAAACAACCAATTATTTTATTTCTTCATTCCTCCTGATGAACAAGAAGTATAGTTCTATTAGCTATTGCTATACTGCCAGAGGCTCCTTGAGATACTGAAGGTTTTAGTTCTCTGAAGTGTTTCCATTTTTTGATACTATAAATTAGCTGAAAGTATGTGCAACCTTTTGTTTTGTGTCCTTAACCACCAGACTTCATTTTGAACATCTGAAGAAGCAGGAATTTTTTTTTTATTATTTTTTTTTGGCTGTAAATACAATCACTTTACCTCTATGATGACATCAGATTGAACCATCAATTGAACTGTTTCTTCTTCTTCCTTGAAGTCATAGGAGACTGTAAACTTCAGATGTCCTCCAGCAGCTGCTACCTGGAGAGTAAAAAGACAGGATAAAAAGCAACTAAATGAAAGAAAACAGTCCTTAACCATTTGAGGGCAGTTTTCTCCAGCACCAGTATCACCCAGAAGTAGACTTCTTGTGTTGCAAAACCATATGCAGATACCTGGGGATTATAGCTCTACGGACCATTCCCTTCTTGCTCAAACATCTAGAAATCACATCTAGAAATCACATCTAGAAATCACATCTAGAAATTTTTCTTCTATTTCTGTTGAAGGCTGCAAGTTCCTTAAACAAACAGACTAACAGAAATTATAAACAGATCTGAAGTCTGTGCAAATTTCCACTTGATACTGACATCAGATCTTTAGTGTGTTTATTTCAGTTATATGGTCCTCTTTTAGGCTGTCCTCTAGATCAGCAGCCTTGGCAACCTGTAAAAGATCCAATAAGTTCAGTTTCATTGACAGGGCAAACTACCAAAATATTAAAAAAAAAAGCCCAGTGATGTTTTTCTAGAATAAACCTAAAACAAAGTAAGAATTTCCCCACATGGAGTCAAATAAACATACTTTAAGAAGATGTTCCAGTCCTTTCTCTCAGTTTGACCCAGCCTACAATGTGAAAAGTCAATGACCAGGCTCTTGTATCATGCCCATATTTCTTCTATATTCTTTTAGTCCCTCAAATCATGGCACTGACACTAGCTTTTCCATTAAAAATGGAATGTAGTAGGATGCAAATTGAAAGCTGCAGACTTGAATGACAGAGTTCAGTACAGAGAAGTGCTTTCTGTTAATTGATTGGAAGCAGCCTAAGTAAATCAAAGACTGCAAGAGCTACATTTTGGGTTTTAAACACATCTGCCTCGTACTTCACTGGAATGTGAGTCTCCACTCAGAGACTATTAAAATCACAGTTCATACTGCTGACCGCAGAGCAAATTCACGAGTCCTCTACAAAGAGAATCCATGTGCTGCATGTGTCATCCAGTGCAAAAAATACTTCTTACTGAATTTTAAATACAAGAGTGATATGGAAGTTGAGCCCTTGTGAGATCCCTTTTGACATTTTTCTCTGTATCACCCAAAGATCAGTGTTCTGCTTCAAGGATTGTCATCTGGGGCCATCAGCACCAAAGAGAAGAGAGCATAGAAGTTTGCCTTACTGGTGACAAAGGCATGTATTGTTGAGACAAGAATAGCTGTCTAAAAATGTCAAGGAAGTTCCACAGAATTTCCTTTGTCTCTCCCACCTGTTTTTAGATTAATACATCAAACATTTCTTCCCAGCTCAGGAGGCAGAATCAGTGTGTTCAAAAAAGTCACAGACTTCACAAAGAAGTGCAAGTATAGGTGAGAGAAATCACAGCTGTCTTAGTTCTAATCCACCAAGTTTCTGGAAAATAGTTAATTTTTTTTAGTTGTTCACGATTAACTGTATTGCACTATTATGTCACATGTTATTAAAGAATATAACCAGAGAGCAGACAAGACTTTTTACAACACCCTGACAGAGGGTCAATCAAAACCGAAGCAGAAAAGATGGTTCTTTTCCTGTGGAAGGAGGAAGCACTCAGTATTAACTTGAGTAAAGCATGCTTTGATGTTATGCCTGTCACACTAAAATTAATTTTAAACCAAGACAAGTGATGGTAAACCACAAATACTTACAGCACTGCAAACAAACAGCAATGCTACAAATATTAGCAAAGCCATAGATGAGAAAAGCTTGAGTCTTTTTATATGGAAATCGAATTCTAGAAGTCTTTCCCTTCCTCCACTTAGTGAATCTGCTGCCAATGCTTATCTGAAGCAAGCTGCCAGGATCTCTCCTGCTAATGTCATTGGAGAGTACCTCTTTCTCATATGGCTTTTATAACCCATCTTATTCTTGAATCATTTCATGATGATTCACACTCTCACTCTACAATGCCTCTTGTAACTGCCTGTAGAGGTTTAGCACTTAGTGCAGTACACACGGTGCTACCCCCTTCCTTCTGAACATCTAGGAAAAGTAACTTCAGGAGATCAGGAGCTATCTCCACTAAACAGGGTGCTGATTACAATCCCTTTACTCATTAAGCAGTAATGCTATTCTGTCAGTTAAGAGATTCAGTTTGTGATTAAAGCACCTAAATATGAACTCTAATATGAAATAAATATGAATCTAATATGTAAGATGGGACATCTTACATAGCACAATGTGGCTACATGTAAGCAACTGAAAGAAGTCCTTTGTAGGTTCAAAGGAAACTAGAAAGTGGCTGGTCTATGGTGTCCCCACCAAAGGACATGTTTTGAATCACTTCATGATGTATTTATATTTTAGAAGTAATTTGGAAGACATAAAATACATTTCACAAATGAATAAATAATTATGCACTAAGTGTATTATTGAAATAAAACACATGCATCTTGCTCATATGTTTAGTAGTAAATTCTGTACCAGAAAGGCTTGGATGTCAGGCCTCATCCAAGAGAGCATGACATCTGCAAAAGCAAAATTATATTTAAACGAGATTTAGACCAATAGTCATGCAACACCAGACTTTCAAAATGAACTATATAAAAGGCATTATAGAATCATAAGACTTGTTTAGGTTGGAAAAGCCCTCTAAGGTCATTGAGTCCAACTATTAATCCGGCACTGCCAGTCCACCAGTAGATTAAGTCCCTAAGTATCAACAAATATCAAGAAGTTAGACTATATTTTCCCTCTTCACTGTTAGTGGTTGTACCAGAAATATAGTCACTGACATGTTGTATTAGAGAAACAGGCATTACAGAGAGAGTTACTATTTTTATTAGACTGATATAGCTGCAATACAGCTATAGAATAGCAACATGCTTTAGGAAACATGAATTCTGCCTGCTATTACACAATTATATACATAGACTTAAAACTTACAATTAGAACAATTCCAAGTGAACAAATGCTACCAGAAAAATAAAAAAGAGAGGGAAAAAAAGGCTACAAACATGAATGGCCAGAACATTTCAGTGCAGAGTGCTAACCCATATACTGCTGAATACAAAACCAAGGAGTCTCACAGCAAGTTGCTGATAGCAACACAAGGTTCTAAGAGATAATAATGCTCTCGTTCTAGAAGACATCCCCAAAGAAAACAAACCCTGCATTTGTTTCCTGATACACCTATGAATGCTTTTTGCTTGCCGCCATGATTATGAGAAATTACACAGATGTTCACTCACTCTTCCTGTGGCTCTGCCACATTCCTATGGCCGTATCTAACACTAGATACAGTGCCTGAAGGTAATGGCATCATATTTTATAGAGTTTAACCTTCACTTCTAACTTCGTGAATTTCCATGAAATAGAGTTGCAATAAAACGTTGAAGTTTATTTGGACTCTTCCACCTTCACAAACTCTCTAGGTACATATTTATTCAACAACACAGATCTCAGCAAACATATCTGCCACCAGAACATAGGCACTAATCATGTGAAAGAAATCCTTTACATAAAATTACATTTCTCTGAGTTTATTAGTGGTGACCAATTTAGTCCATAATTGATAGGCACCTATGCAGTTGTGATATGGTTTGACAAGTGACTGAACAATGTACCACCTCAACTGATGGCACATGTTCTTCTAGCTGCCCACTTGGTGCAGAAGGGAATGCACAAAGGACGGCTTTTCCTAACTTAATTTACTTATGTTTAAGGATTCCATTGTTAATTCAGCTCTCATATGGATTATTATCTTCTCTGGGAAAAAGTACTCGCTGTAAGTTTATGATATTTAATTGGATTTTGCTGATCCAGTCTGCAGGCTAGTCATAGTGTGAGGGAAGGCAGGGACTAGAAAAGAATTCTGATAGAACCATCACCAAGAAGATGTCAAACCTTTCTTCATTTAATAATAGCTCTCAGTAAAGATTGCATGTTATAGTTCTACTCCAGATCCAATTAGAGATTAAATAGACTTCTCCTCTCTTAGTCAGATTGAATTTAGATAGGATATAAAAGCTCTTCTGAGGCATTAGAGTAATATTTCAGATAAAGCAGGGAGCAGAATAATCATGCTCTATTTGAATGACAGTATAGTTCTGGCTAGCTTTAAAAAAGAAGTAATTTTTCTTTATAGGGAAGTTAAATTTTTCTCTTGAAAGAACAGGCTCTTTCCCCATCACTCCTCCATCTGGAGCTCCTCCAAATCTATCCCAGCTAGTTCAGAATCCTACAGTCTCCCTGCTTAAGTACACTCAAAATTCTTCTATCATATCCAGAATGTTATGATACAGCCTCTTTGCTTTTTAGTATTTCCTTTGCAGAGTTTAGTCAAAGATAAATGAGTTTTATTCAGTATAGGCGCTCATTTGGTCATAGAATGTTCTGTGATGTCTAAACTAAATGTTAATAAACCAAAGAGCAAGATATAAAGCATGCCATTGCTTTATAACATAAACAAACATTTATTTACTCTAACTTGAATGACATGTATGGAAAACTCAAAAAAACCCCTTAAAACCTCACTGCGTAAGACTTTCTTCCTTTGTACATTGGATAATGGAGCAACACATTGACAACAAATCTTAATACTTAAAATTCTCCCAGCAATCAAAAGAGGTATCAAATCAGTGGGTTTACTTATGTGTTTTCTGCTTAAGAGATAAATAAAACCTGTCCAAAGAGCAATCTCAACCAATAATAACCAATCAAAACTCTGCTAAATTGTACTTCATATGTACCTTGACCATGTCACCTCTGTATTTTATATCAATATCTGAGCAATAGGGATCCTTTCCAAAATATAGATTAGTCTTAGCTATAGCAAAGTCTTTCTGTGCACTACATCTGATCACTAGGCAGTAGAAAGAATACCCTGCACCTATCAAAGATATCATGTGTTCAGATTCAAATACAATGGAAACATGAATGAAGAAAGAACACAGAAAAGGGAGACATTTTAATCTAGTAAGTACATTCTTAATCATCCCCTGAAGGTATCCCTTGCTTTTGCTAGAAGATCAGTAAACCAAGTGTAAACAGACAATCTAAAGGT